TAAAATCTTTGTTACAAAGGGTGGCTGTCTGGATAGAGGAGAAGGGAAGGATATATTCAGAAATGAATGAGATACAAAAAACAAAGGCATGACCATAAATAATTTTTTAAAAATTAATTTAATCAAACAGTGTAGCAAATAAAGTGACAAGAAAAGATCCTTTCCATGCACATAAGAGATACACTCCATATTAACAGAAGGAGAGGGTACAAACTCCACCAACTGGGCCTGGGTCCTGGTGGACAACCGCACCACGTTTAAAGTACTCTGTGTGTCTGAACTCCTGAAACTATAGTTCATGGGACTCCACTAATGTGTGACTTCAATAATCAGCTTGTTGACACAATTAGCTCAAAAGCAAAGGCATTTATTGGAATAGCATGAACAATAATAACAAAATATTCCCTGTAAAACCTACAATGCATTTCCCCACAAATGCATATGGTATCAGTAGGGAAAGTTAGCGTATGTATAATGTACACTATTAGAGATGTACGTGTAGGGAACACACACATAGCCAAGGCAACTCACATCTCTGACACTGCAAAGCTCCAATGTCTTCCCTCGTGGTCTCCCCATCCTTTTCCACCGAGGACCTCACATCTCTACGGGCCATGTCAATCTGCTGAGTTTCCTGGGCCAGCTCATCTCCATAGCTCAATTTGACTTCGCAGTTGACTCTCTCCTGACTCTCAGGAATTGCTCTTGACTGACTTTTCTCAAATCTATGGTCCATTTTTAGAGCCACCAAGTAATTGAGTGATCCTTCAACTAGACAGTAGCTGGTAATCATATAATTCAATCAAATAATTTGAAGAATTTTTTCATACCTCATAAGGGAATAAAGAAGTACATCTGTCCTTTACAACTTGTGCATAAATCACTCCAAGTTTCTTACCCTTCGTAACTCGTAAATAAAACAGTCGGTAGTCATTCAGTGTCTGAAGTAAGTAAGGTCTGAAACGGTGTTTCTCCTACGCTGGCCACATACATATGTGAAGAAGGGGATGCTCATAGGGCCAAGACACATGTGTCTACAGAAACACGCACTTCTGGGGCTTCGGGGCTACGTTGATGTTGTCCTTGCTCACCGCTAGGCATCATGTCTCTGGTTGTTGTTTCCAGCCTGTTACTCTCTTTTGAGTTTTATCTCTCAAGGACTATCTATTGGCTCTTTGTTCCCATCTACTAAGGCACAGTGAATGAAAAAACTCTCCCTAATAAGTGCAGCATGTGCTCTTTTAGTTCATAATTGAAGTTACGAGTTACCAACCTAACCTATAGAAGCTAGCCACTGTGACCCAAGGCTAAAATTAAGCCTGTTTTTTGATTGCCAATATCTGGTGTTGATTTGCAGTCCATTGTCCCATACAATTATATGATGTAATGTTAGAAATTTCTTTATTACTCTCATCTAACCACGAGGAGCCTCCCCACAACTTTATTCCAGGAACTTTTCCTAAAAAAATACCCCACAGGAGCTATGTGTTGGTTGGGACTCTCAAGATTCTCTTTGATTGACATGTAATTAATGAATTTTTGCAAGAGCAAACCCTAAACAAAGATAATAAGGTTGTTGGTTTCCATATTATTATTATTATTATATGTCCTTATTATTTATATCTGCCAGGAACAAAGCCCTTGACTTTTGAACTATATTATGGCTAGCACAAAACCTTGCCAGTTCCTTACACTCATAAAATGCTCCCTTTAATATTATAATGAATTTGTCTCTCAGAAGGGGACAAAATTTAAAACCAACATTTTATTCATCTGAGATAGGACACAATGTTAGTGTGGTTCATCCTCTCTTTCACCTGTTGATATTCTACCCTCCTCACTTTCTCCAGGTATACTAATATTGTTTTCCTGTTTTGTTCATTTTCTCCCGGGTCCATCAAAGAAGAAAAAACAAAAGGAACAAAAAGTATATTCATAGATGGCTATCATTTCACTACTTAGGAAATTTTTCTTCACTTATTTCTTTATTTCACATTTTAGATTTCATATTCTCCTTATTTCTTTCCCTATCACTGTATATTTTTTCTTTTGTTCTAAGTACCTTTACTACGATCCTATTGTAATCCCTCTTCATAGAGTGGAGGTAACCTGGGTTCTTGAAGGTTTTGCCAGATCCTAACAAGTTGGAAGCTTTGAATACTACCTTGTAATAACTGAGATTCAGCCTAAATTTGGAGAGACTAATTAGAAAGTTAACCACCAGCTGACTATTTTTTTTTTTACCTTAAATAACTTGTGAAGATTTTTTTGCCAAGTTGTGGAAAGGTTTTAAGTTGTTTTAGTGGAGGGAGTATTCACATTAGTGATAGCATAGATGTTTTGAAATATTAAAGTATATAGTATTCTGAACTACACACATCAAAAAGTAAATTCATCTTCTAAACTCCTAAAGCTGTTCCTCTCAATTTCATACTGTTGGCTGATGGCACCACCACTTCTACTCATCTAAACTGGAAAATTTTTGGAGTCATTTTTGGCTCTTCCCTCTTCCTCGTGCCCCCACAGTAATGGATCAGTTGCCAAGGCACATTTAGTCTACTTCCATATTATTCATGTGTCCTCTTTTCTCCTTCTATTAATGCTTCCATCATCCTAGTTAAGACCTTGATGGTTTCCCTCCTGGACTGCTGCAATAGCCACCTAACTTCCTTCAGTCTCTTCCTCCTTCTCATCTGTCCTGACTCAGCTGTCAAATTAATTCTTATAAGGCACAGTGCCTGGCACATTGTAGGTTGATTGATAAAGCACAGTTCTGACAGTTTCAATCTCTCACTTGAAAACCTGGGGCAGCTAGGTGGCGCAGTGGAAAGAGCACCAGCTCTGAAGTCAGGAGGACCTGAGTTCAAATCCAGCCTCAGACCAAACACTTGACACTTACTAGCTGTGTGACCCTGGGCAAGTCACTTAACCCCAATTGCCCCCCCCACCAAAAAAAGAAAGGAAAAAAACCCTTTGGTTGCTCCCTATTGCTTGCCCAGTACAGTTGAAACAATACTGGACCTAGAGTCAGGAGCCTGCCTCTGCCATTTACTGCCTTTATAACCTAGTCCTAGTACGAATCATTAACCTCTCCGGGTCTCAGGTTCCTCATTTGTAATATTAAGGGTGTGGGATTAGAAAATTAGAGGTTCTCTTCTAGCTCCAGGTTTTTGATTGTATAATCCTACAGCTATCTGGTACTCTATCCACTGTACTATCTAGCTCTTCCTAGAGATGAGGAAGGAGGGCATTTCAGGAATGAGGGCCACTAGAGAAAATGTTTCTAGCCAAGGGTCTTGGCTTGTTTGAGTTTGGAAGGTCTTGTTTGTGGATCAGCAAGGAGGCCAGTATCATTGCTTCAAAAAAGAAAGAGAGAGAGAGAGAGAGAGAAAGAGAAAGAAAGAAAAGAAGAAAGGAGAGGGAGAGGAAAGGAAAGAACGTATTTTTGTTACAAATAATAATAATTTCCACTTGTATAATTATGGTCTTTTAAGCACTTTCATATATATCTTTTCTGATTCTTAGTACATCTTGTTTTTTACAGGCTGCTAGCTGATGCAATGGATAGAGTGCCAGCCTTGCAGTCAGAAAGACTCATCTTCCTGAGTTCAAATCTGGCCTTGGACAGTTGTGTGACCCTGTGCAAGTCACCTACCCCTGTTTGCCTCAATTTCCCCATCTCTTAAATGAGCTGGAGAAGGAAATGGCAAACTGCTCCAATATCTTTGCCAAGAAAACCCAGTGGGGTCATGAAGAGTCAGAGTGACCAAACAACAAAAACCTCATTTTCTGTAAGCTTCAAATAATATAAAGATTTTAAATATGTATGTTACCATACTTAATAATACCCACCACAAAATTAAATTTTTCTTAGGAACAATAGTATGTGCTTATAATTTTTTAAATTACCCAAATGCAATACTATTTGCTTTAAGTCACTCAATTATTTTTTCAGTCTTCAAAAGAAGAACAGATATTTTCTAGGTATCTAGTCTTTCCTTCTCTGAAAATCATTGACACTTGCATATTTGCTGCCAAAATTACTTTGTGGGAGGTATTTTTTTTTCCACCTAGGGCATCTGGACCCAGATTGGTCAAAACACACCCTCAATTAGTACTCTGCAGGTCTTTAACCATTGTGCAACAATGTCTCACCACTTTCAAGATGCATGAGAGTAAAAGCCAGCTGCTGTTCAGGGAATCTAGTTATCCTCTATACTCATCTCATTGCCTCAAATTAGCTGTAGATATATAGGAGTTTAGACACAATCAAAGGCTCATCAGAGCACCTAGTCGAAAGGCAAAAGAATTCAACAGCAAAGTGATTTTGCAAAGGGTGTGAGAGTCAGTGCTGGAGAAAGTGGGTGGGTGTTCCTAGAAGAAAGTTAATTGTTCTTAATAACATTTACAAACCATAAACCAAAAAACATAATTCTAATTAGTACAAGAACTTGTAAAATCATGTTGCTGTTATAGAAAGAACTGTCACCTATACACAGAGTTGTAAAACTTCGGTTTTATTGCCCTGTTTTTGTTTCTCCCAAGGCATCCTGAATTATAACTGCATTCATGTACCAAGAACCTAACCTTTTGTTTTGGAAAAAGGTCAAACACTAAAATGAGCTAGATTATGCCATAATCAGCGCTAATTTTAATGAAGGAAATAATTGCTTTTTCTAAATTGTGTGGGCATATATGCCAAGGTAGAGGGTGCAGAGCATGGACAACAAAAGTTTGTGGTTAGGGAAATTGCATAATTGGTAAATTGATCTGTTCTGAATAAAAATAATAATAGATACATTCTATTCTGGTCTCATCACAGACCACCCCCCCTTTTCCAGCCTTAGGGGAGGGAGCCTTTAATAATGGTCTGTGTAAACTGATGCCCAAGCAGTAAGAGTTTGAAGAAGAGCTGCTTGTACAAGTTAAAACCGAGGAAAGAGCAACCAAAAAGAGAACAGCCACTGAAACAAAACTTTAAATAAGTAGAATTTCTTAAAATGGCTCTCTTTACCAAGATCTTGAAAGCCCACTACCAGCCAGCATTAATGCCTGAATGGAAGGGGATTTTTGATCGCCTCGTTTTTGTCAGCAGGTTTCACCAGCTGCCCAAACTTTCTGGCAGCCAGAGCCTGGAGGTACGGAATAATGCTGCAGGCACAGCAGCTGAGGACAAAGAAGAGGAGGAGACGGTGGCGGCAGGGCTAGGGGAGGTCCGGCCGGCCACCCCGCAGCAACATCATCCCAAGGTAAAGACCCTGGAGGAAATGCCAGGGCCCAAAACCCTGGCTAACCTGGTGGAATTCTTCTGGAAGGATGGCTTTAGCCGCATCCACGAGATCCAGGTAGGTGTCTCTTTCCATCAAGGAGCGCCTAGAGACCCTAACTCTTCCCTCCACCCAACCCCGCAACCCTTCTGCTTGCTTTGTGTTGCAGATAGGAATTAATTGATTTCTTGTGGACACCAGCCCGAGCTGGGGGTCATTGCTCGTGCTCCGGGACTCAGTCTGCCCCGAGTTCATTTACGCTTGAAATCTGTTTCACTTGGGAATTCGGAGGGGGGTGTCGGGGGGAACCTCATTTTGAGCCCGGACCGTCTCAGCATCCAGACGAGCCGCACGATCCCTTCTGGCCGATTATGTAAGGCGGGAAAGGAGAAAGTGATGCGCATGGGGGGTTTTTGTTTTGGGCTGGGGGAAGCGGTGGGGTTCCGCGGGGGGCGCTTTTTGCCACATGTGTTTTTGACTCCGTGTAAAGCAGACCGGGGGGGCTGAGGACTTGGACCCATTTATTTACTTTAACCAAACGAGCTTTTAAAAACTGCCAAGCGGGAAAGAGAGGAGGGGTTTGGGTTTGGTAAAGTGGGATTTGGGGCTGAGGTAAGAGGTGTGGGGTGGAGTGTGTAAGTGAGTGAGTGTGTGTGTGTGTGTGTGTGTGTGTGTGTGTGTGAGAGAGAGAGAGAGAGAGAGAGATAGCGACAGAGACAGATGTTGGGAGGCTATTTCACTCTCGCGAAAGTGGGTGGTTCTTTGCGCAGAGCAACGGCGATGACGATCGTTCCTGTCGCGACAGACTGTTGCGAGATCCTAGGGGGTGAGGGAGGGGAAGAGAGCTGAGAAACAGGGTTCTGCTTGTAAGGAGAGTGTAGTTACCCAATGATACAACCTCATGGGGACCAGAGGCGAGGGGAGGCAGATTGTCGTTATTATCAGGAAGAATAATAACAACGATGGAGGAGCTCTTCTCAGATCTAACTGGTTTCGCTTGCTTTCCTTTTCTTTCTTTCTTTCTTTTTTTTTTTAAATTTGGCGCGTCCACAGAAAGCGAGAGAAATTGAGAGAAGAATTTTAGAGGCTGCGCGATGGGGTGCAAACTCGCGCTCCTCCTGGATGGCGGTTTTAAAACGCCGAACGTCACCCCCGTTTCCCCCCCTCCCCCGCGCACACCAGGGCGCGCGCTTCGCTCTCCAGCCCCTCCTTCCAACGCTTCCAAGTCAGGGGCGGAGCTCAAGGGCTTGCTCCCAGACTGAGGTCCCTAAGCTTTCGTCTGCTAGGCGCATGCGCAAGGGTATGCTCGTTCGCTCTGGTCGGGTTTGGAAAGTTAGGGACGACGGAGGCGGGGGAGGGAAGATTGGTTCGTGCATGGTGAAGTTACATTGTTGTGTCAAAAGAGTCTTGGATGGTGAGAAAGAAGACAAAGCGCTCCAGCCCCGATTCCAAGAACGTTCCTTTTCTTGCCCATCTCTCCAGTGTTTGGAAGTTCCCGATACCCTAATATCCCTTTAATGCAACCCACCCCGCATAGGCAAGAATAAGCAAGCCCAAGCCAGTGGTTGCCTAGGAGACACGGGGAGGGGAGATGGGGAAGGAAGGTGCCGGGAGGAGTGCGGGCGGGGCGAGCGTGCCTTTCTGATTGGTGGAACGGCATGGGGTGGGCGGGGAAAGGTCCTGCCAGACTTCTGGGAGCGCCCTTTGCACGCAACTGCCCTAGTCCTGGAGGAGGCTGGGCGGATTCTGTTATGGCGGACCTTTCCCTTGTGTGCTTCGAGGTCAAGTCTGTCAGGCTGGGGGCTGGGTTCAGGGCGTGATTTACCTCCGGGTATTAAGAATATTGGCCGCAATTCATAAATGGTGAAAGGATATGACTAGGCAGTTTTCAGAGGAAGAAATTAAAGCTATCTATAGTCATATGAAAAAATGCTCTAATCACTGTTGATTAGAGGAGTGCAAATAAAAAGGACTCTGAGGTACCACATCACATCTATCAGATTGGCCAACATGACAAAACAGGACAATGATAAATGTTGGAGAAGATGTGGGAAAATTGGAACACTAATGCGTTGTTGGTGGAGTTGTGAACTGATCCAACCATTCTGGAAAGCAATTTGGAACTATCTCCAAAGGGTTATAAAATTATGCATACCCTTTGACCTAGCAATACCACTAATAGGTCTGTATCCCAAAGAGATCATAAAAACGGGAAAGGGACCCACATGTACAAAAATATTTATAGCAGCTCTTTTTGTGGTGGCAAAGAATTGGAAATTGAAAAGATGCCCATCAATTGGGGAATGGATGAACAAATTGTGGTATGTAAATGTAATGGAATACTTACTGTGCAATAAGAAATGATGAGCAGGCAGACTTCATAAAAACCTAGAAAGACTTATATGAACTGATGCTAAGTGAAATGAGCAGAACCAGGAGAACATTATACACAGTAGTAGCCACATTGTTTGATGGCTTACTTTGTTAAGACTTAGCTCCTCTCAGCAATGCGAGAATCTAAGACAATTCCAAAAGACTCATGATGGAAAATGCTATCCCCATCCAGAAAAACAACCATGGAGTCTGAATTCATATGGAAGCATACTATTTGCTCTCCTTTTCTTTTGTTGTTTTATTTCTTCTATACATCATGACTAATATGAAAAAAAAAATATTGGGATGACAAATGGAACCTTCTTTTGTGAAGTCAATCCCTTATGTAGTTTTCTCATTGTATACTAACCAGCCCAAATGTCAGTATCCCTTGGAAATCAAAGGGAACATGCCTTGATTTACCATACTGAAAAAGGTTTTAAAGAGATTTCCAGAAAACTGTATTTTGTATATTATAAAAATCTATAGTTCCCTCCAGAAAAACTCATTCTTGTATTATTCTTTAATCATTTCTTGGTGTTTTGATGTTACTACAGTGCCTTTGTTACACAATTTTAACTTTTCTAGTTTTTTTTAAGCTTATAGAGGGTGTCCATCAGTGCTGCTCTAATGATGTGAAGTAGTTTCAGGCCCTCCACAATCACTTAATGAACAAATACTTATTGAGCATCTGTTTTGTAGAAGGTACTATATTTAGTGCTATTGGATCCACAAAGGACATTTCAAGAAAACTTAAGAAACTTAAAATCTAGTTGATCAAATAAGATATACATATGAAAAGTTAACAATGCAAGGCAGTATATAAAAGCACAGAAAAGACATGGGAGATCAGCTAGTTCTTGATAAATGGTACAGTCAACAAATCTTAAGTGCCCAATAGAGAAAGAAAGGGGCAGCTAGGTGGCATAGTGGATAGAGCACTGGCCCTGGAGTCAGGAGGACCTGAGTTCAAATCTGGCCTCAAACACTTGACACTAGCTGTGTAACCTGGCAAGTCACTTAACCCCATTACCTAGCCCAAAAACAAAATAAAACAAAAAAAAAAAAACCAATAGAGAAAGACATCATGGGATGGAATGGTCAAGAAGTGGAATTTGAACTGGGCACTGAAAGATGAATATGAAGTAAAGAACTCTGATCAATGATGTGGACCTACTACCAATCATCATTTCAGAGGATTGATAATAAACTGCCCCACTTCTGACAAGGAAGTGATGGATTCAAGATGCAGAATGAAACACATTTTTGAATGTGCAGAATGTGGGAATTTGTCTTGCTTAACTATGCATATTTCTACAAGAGTTTTTTTCTTTTTTTCTTTTAAATGGAGTGGGAGAAAGAGAGAATAAATTCTTGTTAACTGAAAAATAAACTTAAATGTAAATGAGACCAATAGGCTTTCGATAGGCAGGATGGGAATTGAGGGGACATTTAAGAGCAAATGTATAGCAGTGAGGTATGTTGGAGCTGAGAAGCAATAAGTAGATCTGTTAACTAGAGAGGAAGGTTATTATAGGACAGTAGTAGAAAATAAGCCTGGAAAGGTACTTAGGCAGATTGTGGAGGACTTTTAATTCGATAAATGATATATTTTAATCCTTGAATTAATTTTACAGCCAAAAACATTTAATTGTCCAGTAACTACAGCTTCTGTGGGATTTTTTTTTCCAAAAATTTTTTTGAAAACCAAGCAAATTAGCTCTACATTTATATACCCTGATACTAACTTAATAGGATGTTAATGAATGCCTGGAGGGATTTATGAGTCCTTTTTCAGGATATATTTAATTTAATTCTATTAGATTCTTAAATTCCTAAAAAGCATTGAATGATATCCTTATTAAAAATCATCAAATGAGTTTCTTCTAATGTAGGAAAATGATGAAATACTGAAAATATTGCTGGGGGAAGCAGAAAAGAAATAATAAAATCATTCAATTTAAATCATAGTTAATACCATATAGTTCTATTCCCATATACTCTTAAGTAGATTAATAGTGCTTCATGAAATTCAGCAAAACAGGTAAAAAAACATAATAGAAAATGATATGACAATCATGCAGCTATTTAACGGTTATCTTTTGCATCAGAAATGCTCTATCATGGAATGAAAGGGGAAAAAAATTCAACTTTTTACATAATTTTTCTCAGCAATGTAATTTTAATGTTGAGTGACTAAAAATATAAAAACAATATTAGGATTCACTCAGAACATACTAACAGGTTTCACCACAAGATGATGTTATCTAACCTTAGCTAGGCTCACTGCTACATGGCAATCCTTTTATTCATGTTTAATTATGTTACCCTCCTCACAAAAGCGATTCCAAACCTCTCACCAATCAACTATTCTGCCTTGTGATTGGCAAAGTGTTACTGAGCCCTATGTACTTGAATGACAGATGGGAGATAAAATCATTGGCCCAGTGCAGCTGGGGTTGTATAAAGATGGTTATAAAATGGGAAATTAAAGACCAAACAGATTATCAACATCTATCCCTGTCTTGGGGCCTGGAACTAATCCTTCCAATACAACCAAGTTAACACCTTCCTGTTTCATATAAACTTTTAAAGAGATAAATTAAGGCAGTGTTGCATTGGATTCTAATGAATAACTTAAATCCCCTAATTAAAATTCAAAAAATTATTTCAAGATGCTCACAAATAGCAAAACTGATTAGTTT